TATTTGATTATGTAAACATATATGTTTCTATGGTGGTCATCTTTAATTTGGCTGCAAAATCACCTTCACCTAAAATGGACGTCATAACGACGTCTGATGAAATAGTTAAGATATCATATGGTATTTAACATAAAATGACCTTGAATGACCTTAACTGACCTATATATTATCCTAATGACCGTCTATATATTTATATATAGATGGTCATATGTATATTTTCTTGACCACAAAAACATAGTGTTAAATATCAGAATTCTAATTTGAAGTGATTTTAAAAGCTAAGATATTAATAAATATAGTTTTTGCATGGCAGCCATTTTGAAATTAAAGATGGCTGCCAAAATTACCCTGAATTAAGTACTGTAGTTTCTAGTAAAAAATGAATTTGAAGAGCTTCAGTATGATTCAGATGTAAAACATGGCAGTTAGGTAATTATTAAGATGCCATACAATATTTGACCTGGAATGACCTTAAATTAATGACCTTAAATGAAGAATCTGGTCAGATTATTTAGTTAATGACCTTAGGTTTTACCTTAAATGAAGAATCTTACCAGATCAAAAAATGGCATGCTAGTACAGTATTCCTTGGCCATTTAGACACTATAATTATAATTCCAAGTTAGAAGAGGAAATAATACCATGGGTAATAAGGTTTTATAAGGTGGCTATTTTGAAATCTAAGATGGCTGCCATAATGACCTCCGATAAAATGGTTTCTATCAAAAATTGAATTCTATGACCATAGGGAGCATGTAAAAAGTTGGTGTTTTTGTCCAAAACGTCCAAATAGCACCATAGCTGCTTGGCGTATTATGCATACACCACTATATACTAAATACTATATACTAAATATGTCGTCGTATTTGTGGCAGCCATCTTGAATTAATGATACCCACATCAAACAAGTGTATCTGTATGCATCAGAAAAACGTTAGGATTTGTAAATATATTTTAGAAAAAAAAAATATGCTGAAATATGTTGAAAAGATCAAGTTTTTTTCCCCCAATTTTTGGTTAAAATTAGCCATTTTGGTGGCCATTTTGAAAAAAAACCCACTTCCCCTATGTAGATTTTTCTAGATTTTTAATGTTCATACAGGGACCTTAAGAAAATGCACTGTGCAAACAGAAATTCTGTTTTTTCAACCCTAAGATGTATTTTTCTTGTACTAATTGCAGTGTGATTAGCAATACATGAAGAATATTGCTCAACATAGGGTTACACAGTAAAGGACAATTATGTAATAAATGAATTAATGCCTTTATGTAAATTATGGTAGCTATTTGTGTGGTCCTCTGGAATACATTGTGTAGTACACAAAAATAATGAAAAACAACCCGATATTGTAAGGAAGCTGGATTTTTATAGGATTCTGGTGATATTTTCCATTCTTCAAAACAGAATAGGATTAATATAAGGAAGCATTTTTACTTACATTTCCAAAAGTGAGTTAGCGCACCACCCTAAAATATGTTATTTTGGGTTTAAAAAGTCAACAGCAGTTATTACATTCATGTTTTGTAAATTAACCAAATTTATTTAGGGTACTGAAGCTGCTGTTAAGCTGTTCTTTAATTTTGGCCGCCATTTTAAAAGCGCCCTCAATTGCCTCTCGAAATCTTCACATTAATAACTTTAGCTAATTATACTTTACTCCTATCATTACATATTCAAAAGTTGGTCAAACCTACCTCTTCTGTGCTTATTTTACCCATATATATGTTGTTTATTGGATTTTGGCGGCCATTTTGAAAAAAGCGCCCTCACGCGAAAATTATATTTCGGCAGTTCGGTTCGGTCCTTGAAGTCACGAGAGCAGCTTCATATATTGCCGCAACAAAACACACATGGTTGCTGCTTGACACTTTCTGTTCGACGTCTGGTTCCTGGTGGCTAGTACAGTTATAGAAAAAATGATACCGCTATTATGTAATATGGGATAATGCAGTGTTATGATTTTAGAATAAAAACTTCTGAAATTAATGTACAGTATGCTATAAAAAAACGAGTTTTCTTGTAGTTGTAATAATTTTTTTACTGGAATTTAACAGTAGAAAGGCAAACTTTGTATCACATGATATTTCTCCAGTTCTGTTTTTGTTTATAAAACGTGGTGCGTGATGTTTCATGCTTCACACAGTGGACTGTGAGATTAATGACTATAGGCCTAGAATTACCAATATTTTTAGTTCAGTACCCAGTGTTATTAGTCACCGTAACAACAAAATGATTGATTGAAATAAGTAAATATACCCACTAAGTATTTTATTATATTATTAAAACTTACACTGAACAGATGTTGAAAATTTAACGCAGCACGGCCGTCTAGCAAGAAATTGGGATTTTCCTAGAGTAAGAATACGTTGTTTCATTGCAGTAGCAAATCAGCCAAAAAAGTTTAAATTTCTTTATGTGAACATTTGTAAATTATGTCAATGATTCAAAATAATTAAAAACTTAACATTATGGGACGGTTTGGAGCCTAAAAATAGGTGCGGCTTATACACAGGTGACACAAAAAAATCGCGATATTTCACGTCCTAATTAGGGGTTCGGGTTAAACACATGTGTGGCTACTGGCATATACGGTATGTTTGAATTTAATTGCTGTTTTTATGATTTTTGTGACTGGACCGTTTCAGAGGTGCCTTCCACATGTTGGTCTCATCTTCTACTGATTTTGTACAATACAATCTTAAGTGAGAATTGAATAAACTACTGTATAAGAAAATAAAAAAAAATTACAAAAAAAGAACATAAGATACAAGAGTAGACGTATATTTTAATAATCAAATGAGTTTTAATGTTTTTTCTTGCAGTACATTAAAGCACATGGCTACAAAATTATTTTACTTTGTCGCCAATGGGCACCAGGTAAAAATTCCTGTAGCCAAAAGGCTATGGGATCGAAAATTGATTTTTTGAGCACTGAATAAATAGCTATAAATTTAGCTCCTTTTTTTAATGTTGAAGTTTAGAAATTGAAATTCATATTCTCCAATGCAACATCATTTACCAAAACCTTTATTTTTCCTATTTCTTGCCATGTAATGATAGGCTGATGGTAATTATTCATTCAAATTGCTTTATTTCAGACTTTACATCCAGAGTTAAACATCATCAACTAAACTACTTACAATATAAATACAAGGGGAAAATAAACCCACAGGATCCATAGAGATTATGGATTGACAAAAAGAAGTTTGTTCCATCTTTTTGAAAGCATAGAACTTTCAAAAATTCTATTTACAGAACGAACTAATGTGTTTACACTGTAGAAAATCATTTTAAAATTCTAAAAATTGATTTTCTCATAAATTTTTGGAATGATAATTAAATCATTATTAACAAATAGTGCACTAGAACTACAATACTTCGGTTGACGTAACAGTTTTCTTAATATATTGTAATAACATCTAAATGTGTTCATAGTTGAAAGTCTATACATAAACCGAAGTGTAGAACAATAAATCCTCATACAGAAGGAAGTAAATAATAATTTGACTTGATCACAGCTCTCTCTAAACTTTCTACATTTCCATATTATGCTCAGTGATCTAAGGGCCCGTTCAAGTGAAAAAATATCCTATTCCTGTATTCCACTCCCTTGGTACTACCATGTTAAAATATAATTTGGTCTCTTCTATTTATAGAGTAACAATGTGAATATAGGATATAGAGTAACAATGTGAATATAGGATTAAATTTAACATCAGTAAACAATGTGAATATAGGATGAAATGTAACATCAGTTGCTGTGGAATTGCCTGGTTTTAGAAAAATATAAACTTATCTCTAAAATAATTGCATGTTTTTTACAAAGCTTTCAGCAATATATTCTCTCACTTCACAAAGTCGAAAATAATTGGTTTGATGACAAGGTCAGAGAGGAAAATGTGAACTACGTCATCAATTTTTTGGGTCATAGAGAAAAAAATTAACTCAATCTCTGCTGCTAAAACAATAAAGGGCTGTGCAGACAGTCGAGTTGCTGCCAGAAAATGAAAGCGGTGCCATGATATTGCGCTCAATGGCCGATAGTCATATACCTACATTTTGCTCACAAAATATGATGTAGATATTCACAACTTCATCTCAAATATATTTTCAAAATCACAACTTGGTGGCAATTAGTGATCATCGGTTTTGGCTGAACACTGGATCAGCGCATTTCGCGACTTGTAAAAGTGTCATCTTGGTTTTCATGGGTGCATAAAATGCAGGGCTTGCTACAAAACCAATTTGTTACATTGGTCAGTATCCTTTGGCATAGAATGCCTTCCTCTAGCCCCAGTCCTTAGTAAACAAAACAATTAATTTTGATGTGGGGAAGATGTATAATATAATGATATTTCTAGTACTACTACTTTGTCTGAATTTAGTAATTGTCTAAAAGTGGGAAATGTCTTAAATTTGATTTGTGTGTGTGTCGGCAAAAAGAAAACACGGATGAATTTTCTACATTTAATCTTACAATAAAGTTTAGCCTGGGCTTGCCTTACCTCTATTTTAGATTCTTTATCAGACACAAAAATGTAAAACATGACATATTCTCATTGCTAGTTTTGATATTAATGAAATATCATTTTTAAACTTACTGAAAGCGATTCTGATTTTTAGAATTTAAATATAGTAACTAATTAAATTAATATTGAATAATTGAATATAAAATGTATGCCAAGTATAAGTATCATGTATTCTGCATGTAAAGGCCAACTCAAACAGTCAAACAATGCAGCCCAACACTGTGGTTTGCATCAGGGACAGTTGCGTCGTGGAATATTAAACGTGTAATATTTCTCACAACAGCGTAAGACTGTTCCCATCGATAAATTGCGTCAGACTGCGTCGGCTATAACTATGTTATGATTAATACGTCATGAAATTAAAATTAAATTATAATAACTAAATGAATAATTAAACATTTTGATATTTATGATGCATTTGTATTTCCTCATCCACATCCTAAATCTAATTAATGCAATTTATTTTACAGTTGAAATTCTGAAGAAACTTGGACATTGCACCTTCTTTGCAACAAGTCAACCTACCCTGCTTGGCTGAATGTCTAATCTTGCTGCCGCTACTGAATGGTGATTGTGCTAGAAAAAAACTTTGTGAATTTTCCTATGTCCATTGGAAATTGCTTTGTGGGATAAATAAATGCTTGTGAGAACCTTTACCCAAATGTGACGCAAATTTTAGATTTGGTATTTGCTTCTGTAACTTTTAATTACCTGGAGACTTATGCTTATAATAATAATCCCAAATATTTATATGGTGCCAATTCCAAATTGAATGATCACCCCTGGTCACTTAGTAACATAATTAATTGAAATTAATTTGGCCTAGCCTAAACCGAATATTTTCTTTCCAATTCTCTTTTCATTGGACTTGCCTTGTTGTATTACTTTGCATTTCTTACTCTTTGTTCAATGATTTATTCTTTCAGGTTATGGCAACTGGTGATTTGGTAGTAGAAGCTTTCAGTTCTGGTTATGTATTTGAAATATAAATTGTAATTATTTAGTATTGTACATTTTGAATAAATAAATATTAATTGTATTCAGTTGTATTGAATAATTTATTGTAATATTGAATAAATAAATATTAATTGTATTCAGCATAGTATTGAATATTTTTTTTTCCTTCTTGAGTATTGAATGAGCAGGATGGTTAAAAAAAAAAGCACCCTCGAATAGAAAATAATAGTTTTTTGGCCACTTTAGTCTGTGGAGTTCTGATAAAAATAGTGAAGAAAACCGCCCTAAAAAGCCTTTTAATTCCAAAGTTTTTTAGGGTCTCTCAGTTGTCAAATGCATCAAGAAGCGCCCTTTAATATCCAATTTTTCACAATTGCAAAAAACTGGCCATTAGAGGGCACACTCTACCACCCTATTAATAATATTAATGGCAAATAAGAGACCACTGAAAAACGTTGAAATAAAATGGCTGTAAAGGGTGGTTTTCAGCACCACAGAGGGCCCCTTTATTAAAGTTAGGCTCCAGAGGGAAAACATTTTTTGAAATGTTGAATTTTTACACTTTCCCCCCCCCCCAGTTTTTCGTCACATCTTTTTTTCGGTCTTAGAAAAATCAGTTTTACAACACATCAAAAATGTTTTCCCTCCGGAGCCCAACTATAGTAATTTTTGAGACTCTGGAAATTTTGGTTTTCTATTGAAGGGCACCCTTCAGCACCACTATTAATAGAAATTGAGAAACATGGGAAAAATATAGCCTTTTTCTATTGGAGGGCGCTTTTTTCATCTTACCTGCATCAATCGGTCTTCAGAACTTGAACAGCAAAGAAACATCAAAACACTGCTTATATGTAAATTATATGGATATGAAAATGATCTGCTCAGCTTATATTAATAAATTATAGTAGCTTTCTGATTCTCTTGTTTGATTGTAATTACCGTAGCCAGTTCATATCTTCTGTACAATATTATCCGTTTTCAGAATGAAGCAATTGTTGTCTTGATGCTGAACAACTTTTCATAACTTACCTGCATTCATCATTCTTCGAACTTCAACAGCAAAGACACAACACACTACTTATATTTTTTATTTCCATAACCGAAATCACATAGGCCTGTCAATTCATTACATAGACTTATATAATAGATAATAAATTATAGTAGGTTTCTGGTTGTCTAGTCATATTGTAATTAGCCAGTTCATATCTTCTGTACAATATACACAGTTTTTTTTTCAGAATAAAACAATTGTTGCCTTGCTGCTGCAATAACTTCATAAATAATAAAACCACTGTATGTTCTCTTTCACCAGGATTACGGCATCACAATATTCAGCAAGATGTTCAAGCTAACTTCTGTATTCTATTAGGCATCACAAATTTAATTAACGAAAGTTAAATTGCCTATATTAAACAAAATTGATTATAGTAGGTTGCTCTGCAGTAGTACTTTTCCTGTCTTGCACCTCTGTTGCCGCATCTACCAAAAATATAATTTGTTTTAAATTAGACACAACACAATTAAAAAAAAAAATTGAAGGTAATAATAAAGCTAATATAATTTCGTAAGCTTCAGCATATTCAGGCCAGTAGCCAGGTTCTCTGAAGGAGGGTTCTCTGGGCGTGGAGTCCAGGAGGGGAAGGGTTTCTCCAGAACCATAAAAAATCCCCTGGCTACTTACCTTATTTTTCACTTAATGCTTACAGTATTATTAAATCTTTGATGTATATCAAAAGTTACGTATTATCTTGAAGAGAGATTTGTCTGTCGTCTGCAAAAAAAAATAAAAAAATACAGACATTGTTTTTGTATGCTCAGTAACTTTCACAAATACTAGTGGATAAGACACCACGCTAGTTATCTGGTTTGAAAGTATGTACTTTAAATCCATTCACTGGTGTTTTTTGTGTTTCTCAGATAAGAAAGTTTAATACATACTCCCAAGTACTGTATTGAAATAATCGTGTTGGGATTCAATATTTCGACATGAATTTTGTCATCATCATAAGGAAATATTAATGACAATGTCGAAATATTAATGACAATGTCGAAATATTGAATCCCAACACAATGGCATGTATTTCTATAGTTGGAGTATTGTATTGCCCCATCAATATGTTCCCTTGTCAAACAGGCTGATGTTTTACGCTTTAAAACTTGACGGTATGCAGCTTTACCTTCTTTTGTCAGGATTATGCTATCACACTATTTAGAAAAATGTTCACAAAAACTCAATATACTTTTCATGTCTTGCAGCATGGGTCATGTTATGTTGCTGCATCTGCAAAAAAAAAAAAGAATAATGAACAGCAGGTAGAGCGACAACGATAATTTTTTTAAATTTTAAGGAATGAAGAAATGATATCAGATTTTATGGACTTTTTATTCCTTGTTTTTCTTAAAAGGTGCTGTTTCCCAAAAACATCCAGACGGAGGAGAAAACAAAAATGAATTTGTATTGGTGAATGCAAAACAGTGTAGTAATGGGATGGTTTAAATGCTTTAAATTTATATAATTAGGAAAAAAAATATAATACATACAATAATTTTGTAGATTTCAAGGCAGCGGCGGGCGTAATAAAAATAAAGAAAAACTCGTTTTTTTTGTTTTTTTTCTAAAATTTCGTTTTTATTCGAGTTGAATTGCATTTATTCGATGTAAAACCACCAAGGATAGCCCACGAAAGTCTAGCAGACTATTCTGGTGGTGCTTGGCAGTACACCGGGAGACAATCCCCTACTCTTTTTAAGAGTGTACTGCGGGTTTGCTAAACAAGGTAGAAGAAAAGGAAACAAAATCAAAAGAACAACATGATAAACAAAAGAAAATGTTAAGTGGTGATATTTAAAGATGTATTGTCACATGAAAAATACCAAAATGAAAAATCATTTTTGAAATAAAAATTTTCAACTTATAGAAATTAGTTGATCTAAGAAATCTTTACAGCGGAAATGAGAGAAAGACTTCAACCACTAGAATTGTTTTATTATATTTATTTATCTCTTATAAAAATCAGGGTACACAATCATGTAAAGTTAATAATTGTTATGTTACTGCAAAATGAGCATTTTCAGGGGACAAAATCAAATCAAACATTTGTATGTCCCGCGTATAAGACGATACCCTGTTTTCCGGTTGTAATGCTAGTTTAAGCCTATATTATACGCTAGTATATTCAGTAACTATTGGCAGCTGTGGGGGTGGGGGAGGAAGGCGTGCCAAACCTTATCAGAGGGAAAGCAAGTACTAGGAGAACTCACATTCACCTCAGCTCCACCATGATTTGGGCTGAAGTTGAAAAAAATAACTTGGTTTAGCAACCTGGATGTCTGGACACGGTACTTTTAAGACATTTTTTTTTCTAATATTATGAGTATTTAAGGACCCATATCTCGTAGCTGTATTTATACCGTTGTGACAATAAAGTTCTATCGTATGGTATCGTTAAAAATGGTTTTCAATAGTATTTATTTTAAATATTTGTTGCAAAAAAAGATTAGGGCTAAGTAGAAGATTATTCAATTTAACGATTGCTGACAGAGAATGGAAATCTGCTATTACAAGAACATTCTAACCCATGCTTGCATGCACCTATATATTCAGACATAATATGACGATATAGCAAATATGAGAAGCTGAATATAAAGCTTTATTTAAAACACAGAAACCTGGCACAAATAACAGTTGTTATTCTGCTAAACCGTGTATACAAAAATTTACAGAAACCAGAAATCAAAAGAAACTAAGAAATATAACCTTAAAATGAATTAAAATTAACTATTATTAACTACCAAATATTTTAATTACCTTAGTGAAAAGATTCATCTGGATATCTAGACTGTATTTGTTAGAATTATTTGATGATCTAAACTATTTGAAATAAATATGTTAACGTATAGGGTGTCTATAAAACGAAGACCCTTAAGTATTTCTTGATATTCCTCATTTTATTCCGATAAAATAATGAAATAGGTACTTGTCAACTGTGACAGCCTGGTGTACTATCATCAAAATAAAAGAGAAAAAATAGGGGTCTTCATTTCGGGGTCTTCGTTTTATAGAAACCCGTTGAGGGGCCTATGATTATGCACATGTAGATGGCCGGAAATAGGACTATGAGACTCAAATTACATTATAAATTACTTATGTTTATTTTTCTGCATTATATTTCATAACTCAAAAATTGGGGGGGGGGGCGGCTCGCTCGCCTTTGAATATGCCACTTGGGGTCTATAAGACCTCGGCCCCAACATAGGTAGGGCTGAAAAATGTGATTATGGCACCGGAAATGGCACTCGCAGACTTTTAACGTGAATAAAGATAATTTTAGTGAACCTATTGCAAGAGAGAAAATCCGTTTGTACATGGCGAGTTATTGACACACAAGCGGCACTCAAATTCTTTAAAAAAAAAAAGCTACAGTAAAAGTCCTTGCTTGTATGACAAATTATAGGCAGTCCTAGTTGGAAACTAGATTGGACAAGGTGTTTTGGTGGATGGATAAACGTGTGAAAGTGTCTTGATTTTTTTACCCTTCAACATGCAGACATTTGGCAATTTGGTAGGGGTTACCCAGAAAGTGCGTACCCTACTACCCGAACAATTTGAAGCCTACAGAGAAAGTAATAAAACATGGCTGTAAACTACAAGTGCCGCTCAGCATGTCTTTCTTGTACAGGTCTTTGCCATCCATATCGTGTAACTTGTAGGTCATCAAGTGGGCCCACCTCAGACATTGCTCAAGCCTTAAAATAAGCCTAAGAATGTACGTTTCTATAAAAAATGTTTTAAAAATTGTTAGTAACCTACATTCCTATACCGAATTTATTGTCATATGAATGCGATAATGTCATGCATAACAATTTTGGTGGTTATTCAGCCACACACTTAATATACTTTTATACAGTCGTTCCCGTCCAATACCAGAGTAATTACATTGCATTATTGACTTTTTCTAGCTTTTTTACAGGAAAAGCCATTTTCTGACCTGATTTTTTTTCTTCTTGGATAGCATTTTCCATGCTTGGATCTTTTCCAAATTTTGTCCAAACATAGAACATATACCAAAGACGTACCTTATAAAATTTAGTACTTGTGGCAAAGATAATCCAAACCAGTCATTTGTCGCAAAAATTGGTAAAACAGTAAAATAAGAATTATTAACTGATAAAAGAATTATTTATATCCGACTTTTCGTTATGAAGTTACAGGAGTTTAAACATATACCTGTTTAAAGAACAATATTTGAGAAATCAGCCTTCATTCTGGACATTTCTTAGGCAGAAACCAGGGATCGGTATAGAATTATACTTCCCTGAAGAAACCATCATCAAATCATTAAAAATTATAGCATGATATATAGATATTTAAAGGTTAGTTCAGGGTAATAGATTTTTAAAATGTTGATATTCCAGCATGTTTCGGCTATTATCTCTTAAACAGGATTTGCGACATTTAACTGGTTTGACTTGTCTTTGCCACAATTAGTGACAGTGGTGTGTGGATGAGGGGACCAATTTAACCAAGTTACAATGAAGAAACTATTTTCAGTTTCAGTGACGATCCAGTTTAGGGTGAAAATGTGAGGGTCATTTTAATTTCTGACGTCCCCGACCTAAATATATATTTAAAAAGCTATCAAAGGATCTAAATTAAACTTTATATAATACTATTTTGTCATGGTCCAATAATAAATAAGTAATCAAAGACACTAGGTTACAAACTCAACATTTTATTTTGCACTACAGATTGTTTCATGAGGGCACAGCCTCAATCATCAGGTGCTCGGCTCTGATTGAAGCTTACTCGGAATAATGAAGTACTGTAGATACAGATAATAAAAACTGTTTATAAAGAATATGCGATGTTAATTAGTACTGGACTCTTGTTGAATAGATGGATCTGAGATAGGCTATTGTTATTTTGGTGTTTGGCTTGGTATGAAGTTTGGTGTCTTTGTAGGAACTTTCTTCTATGTCTGCATGAACTAAGTGTATGCACTAACTTATTATAGGAAGTTTAGCTTTTTACATATGTATATGTAAAAAGCTGAACTTCCTATAATACTGGTTTGTCATGGTTCAATAAAGAAATTATTAATTTTGATGACGATCCGATAACTATATGGTGTGGATATGCACTTAAGTTTTTACTTTAGTAACTTTTTAGATTTTAAATGATTTTTTTTAAAAGAGATGGTTTATTTATTATCTATTTTTATACTGGAATGCATTAAGCCAGTGTATTTTAGTATTTTATGTGCTGCCAAGAGAGCCAATGACAGGAATTTTGCGTTTCTTTTACTGGTGAAACCAATGATATGATATATATATATATTTCAAAATTGGATTAAATAGTCTGAATGAAATTTACTGGAAAGTTTAGGTTACAAGGAAGAAATTAATACATTTTTGTGACGATCTATATTTAGGTGTGAAGTTGGAGTCATTTGTAAGTGCTAACATCCCTTTTCTAATAGCTCAAAAACTGAAGAATGGTCACAATTAAACATTACATGAGTAGGGTGTAGAAATTCAAATGATTAAATCTAGTTGATCATTCCAGATGGCTTCTTTGTGACTTTAGTGACCCCTATAGATAGCCTCAGAAGAAAAATGACGAAATATGTTTGCATTAAACGTTAAGAGCTATAATTTGATACCAAACTTGATATGCTTATATGAACCCTTTATTTTTACATACTTATATGGTATATTTGACAAAATTGGCGTGGCCTAAATGACGTCATTAAATTGTTCGCTTTTCGGACAACTACTGAAGAAAAATAATGCATTCTAGTCATCTTTATGGCAATGTCCATGCATGGAGGAATTGTTTAGTTTAATCTAATTCCTCCATGGTCCATGTCATGAGCTTTAATTTGATATCAAATTTGACAAATTTCACATACATTTTACATAATGTATATAAAAGGGGCACAGGCAAAATGGCCTTTACTGACGTATATACACCTCATAATATATTGAGTGTGGGTCAATGTCCATTGTCTGAGCTTTAATTTGATACCAAACTTGATATGTTTATATGAACCCGTTATTTTTACATATTTATAGTATACAAAAAATGGGCTTTGTCTAAAATGACGTCATTAAATTGTTCGGATTTTTGGGCACCCCTTCTAAGATTGTTATTTATATCTAAAAGAAGGTTTCTGCCAAGTTTGGTGCTTTTGTCACAGAGTGCAATATAAAAGTGCTAATCTACCCCACTCGATCTCGCTGGGCCCCCAAATATGGGCTCAGGGAGCGAATTCATGCCTTGGGGCCCGCGGCGGCTCTCAGCGGCCCTGAATACTATACCAGGGTTCAATTGCTATAGAAAACTAAGGGTGGGTGGCAGACATTTTAAGGGTGGGTGGGTGACAACATTGGTAAACTAAATAATAAGAGTGGATATTAAAGATGGAAAATTGGGTTAATAAACGGTGGGTGGTTTGCCATGAAATTAGCTTTAGACTGGGTGGAAAATTTAAAAGGCTGGGTGGCCCCGCCCACCATGCCAGTATATACCGATAGTGTTTGCGTAAGGAAATTTAATTTGAATGATGTTTTGCCCTACCTTTAGATGTGTTTCAGATGGGTTAACGTACTGAATGCTCAGTATACGTTTTCAAATATGGCCCCCACCCCCTGTCGGGAACAACAGACCCCCTGTGGGCAAATCCTGGCGTCACCCCTTAAAATACAAGGATAATGAGAAAACGGAGCCCAAGATGAGGACCAAACACAATACTAAAAGAGGAGCAAGACAGGAAAATAAGAGAACAATAGATGGGTTAAGAAGCAGGAAAAGACAATAAGCCCATACAAATATGAGAAAAATAACAAAATAAGAACAGGGAAATGAAATGAAGATAATTAGGAAATGAAAATAATGGAGGATAAAAATGAACAAGAAACATATTTCTGGGTCCTGATAACTAAAATTCATAAAAATGTGGTATGTGGCCCTGGAAAGAAATTGACAAGCAGTCCAATATAGGCTAATCACAACTGTTCTTATCGAAATTGCCAATCCAAGTCCGAGAATATTTAGAAATGCACACACACTACTATCTAAGAAACTAACTCGTACGGTATTGTTTGGCGTAACGGTCATTTGAAATAAACTTTCTAGTTACAAATATTTGATACGGTAATACTTGCCTTTGTAGTTTTGTTGATATATATGCCTACATCACGGAAATACCCTATGAACACAGCAAGTTATGGAGGTTTCTGCTAGAATACAGTTTATCGACCATGTCCGCCGTTACTCCATGTGGTCACTCTGGCATTGCATTGTCTATGCAGGTGGTGCATCTAGAATATTAAGTGAAAATGGCCTCAAGAACGATGAAGGACGTACAATCCTTTAACTATAAAAATAAGAAAATATTTATTGGTCTAACATGCTTTTGCAAATTACTATATAAAACTGCATAAGCCTACCTCATCACATCAAAAATCCTTTTCGAAACAAGCCGGCGTTCGTTCGAGTCTATTTCCACAATGCCGTGCACACCTACAAAGAAACGGACTCGTATTGTATGATAACGGAACTCAGAAAAAATACAAATGGGAATTGTTTTAGTATAGTTTAAAACATATGCAATACTTAGGCCTACCTCGTTTTGTTGATACGTACGGTACATCACGAATATACATTGTAATCATAATAATAATAATGGCGTTTTTTTGCTAAAATACAGCTTGCCCACCATATCCGCCATCAACTCACGTCACGCGGTTCCCTGGAATTTCACGATCTGCTATTGCTATACACAGGTGGGTGCATCCAGGATATTAGGTGAAAATGGCCACAAAAACACTTACGTTTAATTATTTGAATAAATAATATTAATTGTTCAAGGGTACTAATAGAGATTATATATTTGCTTTTCCATTGGCGCGTACAAATATACATATAAGACTGTCATTTCCGGCCATCTAGAGTTACTATTTCACACCTCAGGTGGCTGTGGTCTCACGAAATGTCCCCACCACCCCCCTCCTTTAAAACGGATCTCGCCCCCCCCCCAAAAAAAAATAATAGTAATTAATAATAACAAGACAAATTCACTAAGATAAGTTAAATAATATTTTTTTTTATTCAAATAGGATAACAATAATGAGGTGGATGATATCTAGGAATCTTGTACACATTAAAAGAACGATGCATCAGAAAAGCATACTGTAGATATTCTCACTGGAGTTATAAGAAAGCGATGACATAATAATAATAATAATAATAATAATAATAATAATAATAATAATAATAATAACAATAATAATAATAATAATAATAATAATAATAATAAAAATAATAATAAAAATAATAATACTTATAATAAATAATAGTAATAATAAAGTGTATTAATAAAAAATAATGAAATGTAATAACCACATAATAATAATAATAATAATAATAATAATAATAATAATAATCGTTCTTTTATTATTCTTTATAGGCCTTTATGTTATGTTATGTATTGATTGATTTTTATGCTGGTGTAAATTACGGAGATTTTATATTTTTTTATAGTATTTTTAATCTTGCCTATCTTGGACAGCTTTCTGATAGCATGGAGGTATTATACCTCCATGCTATCAGATAGAAGTTTCATGATACTGTGTAAATATAATTTGATGATGATGATATTGCATTGCACAAATAAGAAAAACTGTAAAACAGAGAAGATAAGAATCACGTATATAGTATAATTTTTAATTTTAGATTGGTGAATGTTTTTAACAGTATTATTTTGTTGTCCTATATGGTGAACAGAATGGAAAAAGAAAATATTTTAAACAATAATTTCATAATAAATAACATATATGTTAACAAAACTGAGATTATTAACTACAGTATGGCTATAAGATAACATTCTAGTAACCTACATCACAATTGGATGAACAAATTAAATATTTCTCCACTTACCAGCGCACTTAGGTTGCTATCTACTCTTTCAATTTTACTACTCATCCTGAAGCTGAACACCACTGCTTCTCATTCTGGCCGACTGTACCAACAAAATCAAACCTATACTGTAATGGCATTTTTTTAATAATTGCTAAAAAAAAAACCAAACAAACAATACAAAAAAAAAACCAAACAAACAAAAAACAAAACAATAAGACAATGAGATTTACAGTAGACACATTTATGAACATAACTCATGCAAATACCTTGGTTTGTATTGCAAACAATTTGAAAATATGTAAGATTTATTACTTTTAGTGTTTCACAAACTTGCCGGTTATATTACACAAAACTAGAAGCGGAACGGAATGTTAAATAGGCCAATTTAATTCAATTATATATATTAACTTTCCAATGTCTGTATTGCAATTTGTATTGTATAAAGTTATGTAAATAACAATTAGGTCTATTTAGTGCAGATTCTTCCGTAGCCTAGGGCCTTACAACAGGCCTAGACAATAGTTGCTCTAGGATATATTTTCGGGGGGGGGGGGGAGGGCACGCTGGGCTGTCTGACAGGGGGACTTGGGCTCGTAGGCCCGAGTTGGTTGAAGGATTTGAGAGGATGCCCCCCCCCCCCCCAGAATGAGTGGTACTAATATCTAGGTCATTTATTTAAAAGTTTTGAAATAAAAGGCATTGAAAGTATCCCTGTAAATCATAGTTGTTGATGTGAGTTTTATGAAAAGTGTAATTTATTTTGATAGTTGCCATGTCAAATATGACTTACCTTTCAATGATATATTCTGGCGTGTAATATTGGCTACAAATTCCAGGGTTTTAGCTGAAATCGTGCCATGAAAATTGCTGTCCTTTCCACGTGACAAAAATACATATCTTGCCATGACCATGGCGAAAAAACAAAATGAGACGTGAATGAAAACACGTTTAAATACGTCATTGAGCCTTTCACGTGACTTTGACGTCAGGAACAGAAGACAGGCGGAGGTTGCTCTTAGTGAATGAAGAAGAAAACAAACTTCACCTGACCACCCATGATCTTCTTTTTCCCATACTTTAAAAACAAAAATGGTTTAAATCCTGTTATATCGACGATTTATACACGTTGCTTATGTTAAGATTTAGGGTGCATTTATGACGTGATGAAAATCCACGCGTTTTTCATTTTCTCTATGATCGGCACATTCCGATATCAATAAAGGTTGCAAAACATATATTCGTGGTGTTTACCATTCAAACAGCTGAAAATAAACAAACTATAAACTATTGCTCACCGGTGTTGATACTCCGCAGTTTGCCGGTTGACCCCGACTGCTACGTCTTCCATTCCGAAGCTATTAAACACCGATCATGTCGTAACCATAACCATAACTGTGTTTGAACTTTCGATGTTAGGCCGAAATTTACGACAAACACAGCGACGCAATTCATCAATCACAAGAAGCTTAACAAGATATCGCTAAAGCCCCTCGATGTGGCTATTCTGGTTTTAGATATATTAAGCCATCGTGAGAATGAATGTATTTGTGAGTAATCGAGATATCAATTATCGCCAAATTTTCTAGTAGGCTTGTCTTATACTTAAGAAAATTATAATTATAGGCCTATGAAATAATGATGATAATAATAATAATAATGATAATAATAATAATGATGGCCTATGTCAATGATTTCATTATTAATATTTGTTATAATAAAGTCAATAATTAAATGACAGTAATTTTGCTATAAAAATATAACCATTAATTAATAATAATGATAATACAACAATTTTTTTTAAATAGGCCTATGAAATAATGATATTCATAATAGCAATAGTGAGGGCCTAATATTTAGGCCCTCATTGCCGATAATTAGGATAGTAGGCCTATAATAATTGTGATAAACCATAAACTGATTGTATTGTTTGTTGAATTTTATTTTTGAATAGACACTAATATGCCCACAGGAAAGTTTCCACTTCAAATAGGCATATTAATATTAATTTGTAGATATGGGCTACTGTACTGTAAACCTTCTATCATTTTGGTTGTTTTGAATTGGTTAAGTTCGATGCTATCATTATATCAAAGGGTTCAAGTTCACGTTCATTTATTTGTAATGTACTGTAATGAGAACAGGATACATAAACATTGTTTCGATATAAATTATAGTAGTTGGCTGAATTAAAGTAAAGAGAAACCTCAATAAACTTGTAATCTTTTTTTCAGCCTCATAATCCATAAGATATACAATAAATAGATATACTGTAGGCCTTTATTTAGACTTATGCCGATATCTACATACTACACAAAAAGTTTCCGATAAAATAATCATAGTCTTTACTTTTGTGTTTGCGTTGATTTGTAAACTGAAAACTTTTGATAAATGCGGCAGTAGTATTCTGACACTATAAGACCAACGTGTTTGCGAATTCCTCTCCAACCAACACCTCGCCCATCAATAGCAGGCTTATCAGAATTAAAACGTTTATTTAATACTCGCTAAGCTGTCCCGAAGTTGTCATTTTCGTATATTGTGCTAGCCATACCCTTCCGCAAGAACGTTGAATTATAATGAAATCAAAAAACAATTAAAATCTCATCATGGTGACATGGTACAAGTGACGAAAGCTGGACGTAAATCTTAACAAGGTATACTTGGATAATCTTGGAGGTTTTCAAGAGTCACTTAGTAACAGATGTCAATCAAATTCCACTCAAACTATAAAAACTCTGGCAAAACAGTCACCCAGTAACCCCTCTCTCGTATTTGTCAAAAGCAGCACTCTGAAAAATAAGCCTACTCAAACCAAAAGCCTGATAATGGTATAATTATGCATACAGTATTTAATTATATTTATTTATTTATCTACTATTATTTATTCATTAAATATTCGACACAAAACTGTGTCTAAAAGAAGAATTAGTTATTTTTCTGGTTATTCACAGTCATTATATAACCAAAAATAATTCTTCGATAAATTAATACAAACGTACAATACATTTAGACGTCAGTTTCTTTCTATTTCGTTGAGGTTTCTAAACTATACCGCTGAGACTTGTTCTCTGTACCATTCTCGTAGTAAACCTAATTTATGGAGAGACATAATGTCTTCGGGCGTTACAGATTACAATAACTGGAATTGTTGATTTTTTGTCTGCCAGTACATAAATCATTAGTTAAAGTGTGATCATGTCAATAAGGATAATGATAATGACACAAATATTCTGAATGTCGTTAGAGCCAATACTGTAATAATTTAGAGAATCACTTAAAATTTACTTGTCAAAGCAACATGTTCACGAAATTGCAAGATCACTCTCTTATCGAAGTGGCTAAAAGTTATACAATTGAGAGCAGCTAAGCTCAATCGGCTGGTAGCAAATGTTCGCGAATGGTTGTTGTTGTATATTGGTTTATTGATCAGTGAAATTTTTTTTTATATTATTTGTGTTTAATTGGAAAGCAACAACTTATTTGATCTTTAAATGAGCTGATTTTTTAATGATAATGACACAAATATTCTGAATGTCGTTAGAGCCAATATTGTAATAATTTAGAGAATTATTTTTTTTATCTATTTTTTTCCAGAATTGCTGAACTTGTATAAATTATGAACTGAATCATTTAATGCTCTCTGCTACGAGGAAAATATTCACTCGTTGAAAATTAAAAGTGTAAACTAATTACATAAATCAACAAAAAACATCTCATTTATTTTATAAGAACCAGTAAAATTTTGCCCAGGCTCAGTTTTCTTGTATCTCTTGTTTGCCAATTTCTGGCTGAAAATGTTCGTATGTTCTTATACACACTTTTTAAATATAGGCCTCGAAGATTATTACTGTACAGCAATATGGCACTGTACTGTATAAGCCTATACTGTTAACCTTAAACGTCAATACTTACTGTGTGTGACTAACTTGATTTGTTTGTTTTTATATTATTTAAAAAGATAAAAACCACATTTGGCATTAACT